TNNNAAAAAAACAACATTACCAGATACTACTTTATGCAGATAGGTCATATCGTTTACAGCATTGTAAGTCACTTCGCCGTGTTTTTTCAGGACTTCATCAATTTCTTGACGAAGCTTGTTTTGTACGTCTTGATTTATTGCTAATTCGTACAAACAGAACGTCGCTGCAGTTGAGGCAGTTTCAAAGCCGCCTATGATGAAGGAGTATGCTTGCGCAGCCGCTTCCAGAATAGACATCTTACTCGTATTCGCTACAAATAAAACATCTCCTTTTTTTATTTGTTGCATATTTGTATTCCTTCTATGGTATTAAACATTGTATTATATTTACACGAAACATCGCAGATGTCTCCTTCTTTAGGCGCCACACAACCTTTCTCCATAAGCTGTATAAGTAGATTCATAAAATCATGTCTGACAACATTGTGAGTTTGTCTGTATTGCAAGGTATCCTGAAACACTTGTATAAAAAAGTTTGAGGTATTCCGATCAATGAAAGGAATAGCAAAAAATTTGGGAACTTGAGGTACAAACGCAAAGAGTGCGAACCAAAAGTTATGATATTCAAATAGTTTCTTTCCTTGGTATAGAAATTCACTGTCCGGCGTTGTCATACAATTGGACTTGATTCCAAAAGCAGCGGACATAATTACGTCTGTGGTATATCTGTTGAGTACAAAATATTAGTATTGAACATGTACATTGTTTATATAATATATTCAACAATTAGAAGATAATATTTATATAGTATTTATATAACATTTCTTCAGCGTTTTATACGTCATTAGTGAAAAATGTACTAAAAACTTTTCTCTTTTTTTTCTTCTTTTAAGAATGAGTATACCTTGCAAATATTTCTCTTATATCGATGCATTCTTCTGTTTTGGTTATTGTTTTTAAAGAGGTCGCGAGTTCCTCGCTGCATTCTTTCAAAACTCCAAACATTTGCTTGAGGTTTCCCGAAGTAAATGTAGGTGTGAGTTTGACGCGCAAATTTCTCCATTTTGTACCAGGCAATAAAAACAAGTTGCCGGATAATGGGTCACCTTTTTCGTTAATGTAAAAGCCTCGATCATGAAAACTACCAAATTCTTTTGTCAGCACTATTCGGACAAGCTCGAGATCGGCAATCACAAGGTTCGGCTTGAAAAATATATACGTTCCGATAGCGCGATGGTTTTTATATTTCAAGTAAATATCGTGAAATAGTTCGCCTGTGAATAATTTTCCAAAATTAAATTATATAAATGAACGTTTTTTTACAATGAGTTTAAGGAGTTACACATTGAAAAAATATAAGTTATGGAATCAAAGCATATTCCATATGTTTTCATATCATATAATTATACACATCACTAGATATTATATTATCTTTAGGGTAATATCTACACAGTTTGTCCGGAAAGTTCCCGGACTGATTTTTTCTAGCGCGGGTAAGCGGCGCTATCGAGCGGTCAACGCTGGAACTACTTAGTA